GGACGTCGTGCAATGCATCCATTTATAATCGTTATTATAGTGAACCTAATGCGGCTATGGGTGGGAAATATTTGTAGAAAACTCTAAAAAACAAGATCAGCTTTTGAAAAAAGATAAGATATTTACAAACAATTTTGATTATATCTAACTGTTGTGTACATCGTGAGTATTTCCATAATCTTTGAGTCGACTTTTAAAAAGTCATCGGAAATTATGACCTTTATTCGTTTTAAAATAACGACTGTAATGCTTCGCAATTGCTCGAATTCGAGCAACCGGTACACTAGTCTAAAAATTTAATTGGAAACTTTGTCTCCACTAATTTGAGAGAACGACTGGGCGTAGAAACTTGGTAGAGGTGTCCAAAGAAAGGTCTTGGTCTGTAGGTGAATTATCAAAAGAAAAACTAAGTAAATTCAGGGTGTCTACTAGTCGGGAATTCAGGGAAAATCGGGAAAAAGTCGGGGATTTTGAAAGGTCGGGAAAAGTCATGAAAAAGTAATGAATTTCGGCCGAAGGTCGGGAATAATCTAATCTTTCAAAATTAGGGATGAACGGGTCCCAAAAATTTTAAAAAACTTTCTGGATCTTATATTTTTGATTCATACATTATTGAGTCAGTATTCATATACATTATTGAATCGGTATCCATCCATATGTTTTTGAATCAGTATCCATACATTATGGAGTCAATATCCAAATACGTTTTTAGATCAGTATCCATACGTTAATCAGTATCCAAATACATGATTGAATCAGTATCTATATACGGTATTGAATCAGTATCCATATACGTTTTTGAATCAATATCCATACATTATTGAGTCATTATCTATATACGTTTTTGAATCAGCATCCATACGATATTGAATCAGTATCCAAATACGTTATTGAATCAGTATCCATATACGTTATTGAATCTTCATCCAAATACGTTTTTGAATCAGTGTCCATATACGTAGTTGACTGTTACATTGATACTTACTTGACCTACATTGGTTACTTTAGACTATCAAAATATCAAAATATACTATCAGTATCCATATAACTTATTGGCACTATTCAAATTATTGGGGAACATTAATATATATAAGCTATTCACTGAGACATTGCTTAGCCATACAAGTTATTACAATCCAAGTACATGGCATACACTGAGACATTGCTTAGCCATACAAGTTATTACCATCCAAGTACATGGCATACACTGAGACATTGCTTAGCCATACAAGTTATTACCATCCAAGTACATGGCATACACTGAGACATTGCTTAGCAATACAAGTAATTAACATCCAAGTACATGGCATACACTGAGACATTGCTTAGCCATACAAGAAATTATGTATACCTTGTAGGTCTGATTGTTTCCTCTCATTTTATCAATGTAAACCAATTGAAAGATTCAGTATAAATCTTGCGAAGATTTTTGTTTGTTTACACCAAAACACATCTTTATATTTATAAAATCAATAAAATAAAATAGGTAACATGCTGAACAACATGATGCTGCAAGTAAAAATTATGAAATAGGCAAGAAGCTCACTGATATTTCCAGTGTTTCTTCTAACGCATGATTGAAAACAAATATTTCATTCCAATGACAAGTATGAATAGAAAAATACCGTGTTGCTTCGAATCGAGTTACATTAAAATTTGTTGCTGCTTCACACACCCCAACATTTGATATGGGATTTTCTCGGCATGTGATTCGTTTCTACCGTCAGTGAAATCGCTGCGTCGCGAGTGACAACATATGTTGACGAAGGTACCGTGACCGCGAGTCGGAAAAAGGTGTAGTAACATGGAGAATGGACCGAGTTTTTGGTCGGGATTTAAATAAAAATGGTAATGAAAAGTCGGGAAAAAGTCGGGAATTCCATTTGAGAAATCTGGTAGACACCCTGAAATTTCCTTAGGGCTGTGCCCCAGAAGCCTTTAAAGATCCATCCACAGTTTTGTTTACATTTTGGCCATGTGGATAATACTTTATAATGAAACAGCTGTTAATTTTTAAATTGTATTTTAAACAACTCACTTGAGAGTTACTGAATTGTCCAAAAGAAGCATTTGCAATGTTATTTTCTGATTTTAATAGCTATTTACATTACAAGTGTAGTAAGAGCGTTTTTACATCATGCAGGTGAATGTTGTGCAACAAGCGGAAGCGAGTTGCATAATTCACCTAAGAGATGTAAACACGCTCTTGCGCAACGTGTAACGTACAAGATTTTACCTGACCTGACAATATACATGGGTTTACATACAATATTTTTCATTATCCATTTCACTCATCGTCTAACAGTAACGTTCTTTTACAAACAAAAGCTAGGTTAGGAAAATACTTTAAAGCATAACAATAACATTCAAGCGCACAGCTGATTTCTAGCGTTGAACGTCGATGCCTCCATAGAGGTATATTTTTTTAAGTTAAGCACTCAATGTTATTTAAATGGGTTTCATTACATCACTGAGTGAGTTTTTTTTAACTTTACGTCACTCGAGAAGTAAGAAAGTTGTATACATCACGCTTGGGATAGGGAGGTTTAACATGGCAGGTCAGGTAAAATTAATTTTCTTCTGTATTATGTCATGTTTTGCAATATATAACGTTCCATGACGAAATCAGTGGAAAATCCTTTTATCACAGTAACTCTTAACAATTATTTCTTATTGAACTATCTTATATCTATTTTACGGGTTGGTGTCTCGGTGTCTGCCTTTTTCACACCTTTTCCCTATATTTTATCGTATTATTCTAGACAGATCATCATAGTTTCATGAGATTATTGTCATTTATGCTTTCAATCATTGGAAAAATCTTCGATTGTGTAATACAATACAAAATAATACAAGTAAAGAAGGGCACGGTGCCCATTTGAGCCATGTCCATATTTTGTTAAATTAATAGTAGTTTACAGCAACTGGATAAAACATTTTACAATATTTATGTAGAAATTTATGCATGCTTTAGAAAGTCGTTAAGCTGGAAAACTGCAATATACTGCAGCCTTTTCAGAGAGGTTACTTTGATGTATTCATTCAGCTTAGTGAAAGCATAATATAGATATGTATACAAATAAGAACTTGAACTCTTAGAGAGCCTGTGAATGTTATTAGACTAACGAAAAGGGTTGTGCATGTTTACTAGTGCTACTCAGCAACAAAAACCATTTAGTTGATCTCTAAAATATATATTCTTGAAGTGCACTGAGCAGCAGCCTAAAAAATCTATGTAACTTACCCATATAATATAGTTACAAAATGCTCAAACTCGCATTGTGACATTTATAATTCGGCTTATATTTCTCCAACAGAAAATTCATCTGCAGAAGAATTTTATTTTGCTCTTACCGTTTCTAATAACATCCAAACACAGAAACCTTGCCTAAAATGGTACAAATTTTTGACAAATTATTTGCAGTGGCCTATATTACGGACTGTGGCCCACTGGGTTGGTAACATTATTGAAAATAACACGACATTTTGGCTGTAAAAATGGCCCAATAAGTAAATGCTATTTAAGCAGCTACTGTCATGACAGAAAGGTCATATTCCTTTTAAACTAGATCACATCATCCTTTATAAGATACGTTGATTAACAATGCATGTAAACGTCAATATTTACGTTACAGCCAATTTACATTATTTTTTTTCTTTTTGGAAATGCCACATTACTATGTCATTCGCATTATTTGTTGCCATTACTGCACGACTATATAAATGAGGAGGCCCCTAACAGTTCAAGAATAAAAGCCAACTCCACTTCAAGTATATTCCACTAGGCCTACACCTAACATTCCGTAGAGAGATAAGATAATATTGACAACTTTATGTAACTGATAAAACTGAGACAACTAACTGACATCCCCCATGTCAACAAATTCCAGCTTTAATAGTAACTCCACAACCAATTTCTCAAAACTGTGCTAGAGGGTTATTCATTGGCACAGAAGTACGATATGAACTGACGCGACGTGACGAAGGAAAAATCTAACTTACACTGTAACGGATATACCTCCCTTTGAAGTTAGAATGTGTCTTCCCAACAAACAGTTTTTTATTTTTCAAATAAAATCATAGATTAATCTGCATTACACTGATTAAATCACGGAAGTGTTTAACTACAAAAGATCCACCAATACGATTTTAATACTATTTAAAGGTTCTTCCAAAGGAAGAGATACCAGATAGCATACTAACAACTCCGATGACGTAAAGTATGAGAAATATTTTATTCATTGAATGATCAACCATATTTGGTAACTAACGCAATTAATATCATTATTGTTTTTACACTTATTAATCTTTAAACAATGCTAAATGCTCAAAATGTGTATAATTTCACTCAATTTATCGCAGTTAGATGAATTAGCGTAAGCTTTGAAAGTAACCGTCGATTTCGACGGGTTTCACCTAGTTGAGATATAAACAGCTCAGTGATGTTGATGTAGACCATACAACAATAGACTGATACAACGTTGTTTACGTACCGTAAAAGCCGAAATAAAATAAGATTTATTTACAAAACCCATAAATAAATTTGAGAAAGCATTTTGCCATGCCACCTATGGTAATAGCTACTTCCCTATAGGGAAATTCGCTAATAAAACACACACAAAATTAACACATATCCAATCATTGCATGTAATCAGTGACTCATCGGTGGTTGTTAAAGTAAACGTCAACTCCATAGTCTGTCTGCGAGATAATGGGCACTCATACAAAAATTCTTGGTCGTCACTGTATAATTTACATTTATCTTGCGTAATAATAACAAGTTAAGTGTTATTTTGGTTGATCGTGTTTGTGGTTAATTCGCAGCAAGGATAGTTGGGAATCTACTGTAAAATCAACTTTATATTTTGTCAAAATCTACGTTTCCAACAATGTCAGCCTTCAAATACTGACATCAGATGAACACGGTAGATGTTGGAAACGGAGCTTAGCAAGAAAATATGATCTGTGGCCAACCTTTGAGACAGCTGAGTGTGTTACAGGGAGGACTAGGTCCATTGGTGTCCACTCCTGGCTCACCATCACGTCTAATGGCTCCATCTCAGTCACCAGCCCCGCCGTTCCCCATGATGCCACTGGGGGGTCCCGTAGGCTCACAGGTGGGACCCGGACCTTCACTGGTGGGAGTCACCACCATGGCCAGGATAGGTCAGCCTTCCACGGCCACTTCTGCTGCCGCTGTGGACAAGTCACGCCTAGGTTAGTGCAGTACATCAGCTTTAGACAAATAATGCTCGTACATTTTTAAATATTATTTTAACTTAGATAAAAAATAATATAAAACCATTTTGTACCTTTTTATTAGGCCTACCTTTTTAATTCTTTGGTCATGTATGTAAAAGACGACAACAATTGTCAATAATTTGCCTCGATGGTTGTAAAGGATAAGACATGCCCTTATTGGTAAAATTTAAGTTGTTAAACAATTATTGCCTACATTTTCTGATTTATAAGAGAGCTTCACTATGTTCAACTAGTCAAGAAAGTTCTTGGAACGTAACAAGATATGGCAAGTAAAAAAAAAAAAAAAAAATTGATAACTATGATTAAGTTAATTTTAAGCTCCAGTATTAAGGAAAATTAAGAACAAAAGTATTTATGGAAAGGACGTTTTGAACAAAACTTTTTAGAAAATAGGCCTACATATTTATTGTAGGTATAGTTTAAGGTGCAGCTTTCTTGAAAAAAGAGATTTAACATAGGCTTAGTTTGGTGACTGTGATGGTCTTTTTTGTTGGCTTAGTGCCTGGGTATTGTGGGTTTTTAGGTATTTCATTAAGTTAAAAGTGTTTATAGATCCCCCACCTCTAGAGATAAGCCTACATAATATTTTGCATTTCGCAAATCTGTTGTTCGCTTAGTTGTTAAATCTTAGGCACTAATAGAAAAAATATCATTAAAAATTATTGTAAACCAACAGCCTAGTTTATAGATATGTCGTTGTCAATCATACCGGTACGTCTGATTTGTTATCATTTTATTGGGAGGTTCACAACAGTTTATTATATATATATAATATTAACTCAATCATAATCAACAATGTGTTTCACCCAGGGTAATAATCAAATATGTAATACATTTCTTGGATCAGATTAGGACGTCTTTGAGTTTTGTGATGTTTTTTGTTCACTTACTAAGTAAATAGACTCAAGATATATTACAAAAGGATTATTCATGACATGAGTTTAGCCCCTAGGAACAGTGGCGTCACATTTTTTTGCGCCCCGCTCCCATAAACTAGACCCACCAATACATCAAACAAAAAATTTTACAGACTAAAATATCACATTTTTAATTTTATCTTTGTTTGTATTTCAAGCGTTGACCTACATTATAAATATAAACATATATCTTTAAAATTGATGAATGAATAGGTAAAATAAGATATAAACAACGTCAGTATAGTACCAAAATATTGTATTTAAATTAAACTAAATACAATTAATATTAGGGCAAAACTAACTACAACTATTCAGAATGTCTCAAGCTCTTCACTGGAATTTGCTCATTCTTACTCAATTTCGTGAAGCAAATGCTTTTATGACCTCTTTTGAATCAACCACTCTTGCCGCTTCACTCTCTATACTTTAGTATACTTAGACCTTTCAAAATGTCATTTGGTTGCAGACATAAGCAATGTACAAAAGTAAGATAGCAAAATAATAATTAATGACCTTGGTTATAAAACGTTAAATTTGTTACCTCAGTTCAATGAACAGTGAATAATTAATAATAAATATCAATAAGAATGAACTTCAATTTTCAACCCCACTAGTCTCGCGGGCCTCTCTGCTTGACGGTTTCCGCTTGCTGATTCCCGCTCATCGGTTCGCAGGCCCCATCCCGGCTCCCAGACCTCCCCCCCCCTGTATTGGGGGCCCTTCCCTTATGCTACTGTTTAGGGATTAGTGAAGTCCATACAATTTTCACTCAGTATGTAGCCACTAGCCAGTCCTCCATACATGAAAGGAGACTGGTTAACAACTTTAAAAATTAAAATCTTTTGTTAGATTTAAGTTTAAATTAAAAAAAACATAATTTTAAACTTTTGTTCGCTAATTCTAAATTACATTTGTGGCCGACATTTATCTATCTTATTCTATTTTCAGCTGAAACTTCAAACCTGTTCCCGGAAATGTCTGGAAACGTGTCCAAAGAAATAGAAGATGAAGCAAACAGTTATTTTCAGCGTATATACAACCATCCCCCTCATCCAACCCTGAGCATTGATGAGGTTTTAGAAATGCTAAAGAAGTTTCAAGATTCTCCAAACAAAAGAGAAAGGGTATGTCTTACAATATTAGCAGTGTTACTATAGGTTGCCATTTTGTCGATACTGAGAAAGAAAAGTAAACAATTAGAATGACCAAGTTAACATTTTGGTTGGTTACATTTGGAAGTTTTGTCAGAATGTTGTACAAACCAAGATGGAAGTACTTTTAACAAAAAGTATTTCATCGTCGTAATAAATCAAGAGAAAATTGAGTTCAATTTATGTATATGTGTTATTATAATAAGTTTATGCACACTGTTGTATTCCTACAAAAATACTATTATGCCTAAGGCCAATTCACACTAAATAAAGATAGGATATAATATATATGAGGTTACAATACCTTAATCGCCAAGTGATCCATGTAGTCCAAAAATAGGATCACGTACGTTTCGACGTCTATGCGTCATTGTCAAATCTTACAAAAACTGTTTAAAACCTTAATTAAGCCATTGTAACCTCATATATATTATATCACAGTGATTCAGAAAAAACAACATATAACATGAAAAAAAGATAGGATACATTTATTGTAGGTTATTGTAATGGCTGATGGAAATTATGGGATCACACCTGCGTCTCGTAGTTGACTGATTATGCTCTTGTCACCAGGCGTGGGGGTATTGTCTAAGAGTCCAAAGTCCAGGCCTACTTTATTTCCTATGTAGGCCTACAGGACTGACTCGTAGTGTTTTTAACTTTTTTCTGCAGGTTATTATCTTATATATCTTTTAATGTTGGTTTCTGTTTGATTGCAGGAGGTATTCAGCTGTATGCTAAGAAATCTGTTTGAGGAGTACAAATTTTTCCCTCAATATCCTGACAAAGAACTCCATATAACTGCTCAACTGTTTGGAGGCATTATCGAAAGAGGACTTGTCACGTAAGTTATTGCAGTTTTCAGAAATTTTAAATATTTTCTATCAAGTCCTTAAATTATATAATAAACAAGATACAAGGGGTACAACCCATTTTATTCAACCATTTTAACTGAATGAAAAATATATAAACACAAACATAAACATTAAAAAACAATAACATAAACCATGTGTGTTAAGAAATCATATAAGGACCCTGTAGCATTTGTGGCATTCCTTAGTGACATTAGGATGTGATTTATTTTGAAGTGCAAATCTCCTCCATCATTCTCCATTGCTATTAACTATTTCTTTGTCTTTGTTTCTGTGTCCGTTGGTTGCTGGGTGATATGGGGCAGAGAATTGTGTGTGACGCCACAAGCTTGTAGAAATTGGTTGAAGATGGATGATGTGAAGTTAGGGCCATTGTCAGAGACTAATGTGAACGGGTAACAAAAGGTAGAGAAGAGTTTCCTCAGCTTTTGAATGCACCAATTAGATGTTGTGGTTTTGGTTGGTATGACTTCAACCCACTTTGAATAGACATCAACGATAACAAAAAGGTATTGCCCATAAATTGGACCTGCAAAGTCGATGTGTGTTTGTTGCCAAGGTCCTGATGGAACCAGCCAAGGATGGGCATCTACTTTTTCAGGAAGATTCTGCTTCAAACAGCATGGACAACAAGACTGCTAGATCTTCTATGTTACGGTCAATGTGTTTCCAGTAACAAAAACTTCTTGCAAGATTTTTCATTTTCACAACTAAGTGTCCTAAATGAAGTTCATTGAGTACTTTTCCTTGCAGTTTTTTAGGAATTACTACTCTGGAACCACGAAAAATGCAGCCATCATGAAGTTAATACTCATTATTCTTCAAGCCACTATGTTCTAAATCAGTGCCATCTTGAAGTGCTTTCAAAAGAGGTTTTAGGTCATTGTCGTTTGATGTTTCATTTGCAATATTTTCATGTGTTACAGGCATTAATTCAATTTGGTTAATGAAAAAGGCTTCATGTTGATCGATTTGATTTGTCGGTGGATGCTCATTAGGAAAGCGAGACATGTAGTCGTCATTACCATGTGATTTGGTGGTCCTATATTCAATAGTATAATCAAAGCCAGAGAGGAAGTGAGCGTAATTGAAAATACGTGTTGTAACAGTTTGACTAATTTGACCAACTGCCAACAAGTTTGCTCCAGTCTAGCTCAATGGGCGGGGTGCGATGTGTCATAGGCCAGTGAGGTGTTACACTACGATGAATAGTATTTAATTGAAAGGGCGCCACCGTGTGATATGGGCAAATTGTCTGTCGATTGTCACAAGGAACCAATCTCCCAGTAGTGTTGCCTATGGTTGTGGTAAGCAGGGTAAACCTAACACCTGTGATGTCAATTGACCATACTCTACATTGACTTGAATTGCCCTAACCATTTATCTAATCGATAAATACCTAAATTTAATGATCACCAAAATCACTCAAAATACTTAAGAACTATAGTAGCTATAAAGATTTTCTAAAATAATTCAACCAATTAGAAACTAACTGGAATGTCAAATAAAAATCCAAATATGTATGATAAGCTCTATTTATCTCAAGATAAGAATGCCCTGATAACAAATCAAGTTCAACTTATACAGTTTAATGAGCAAATGTAATTTAAATCAACATCAGTTTCAAAAGCAATCTGAGAGCAGTACTTAATAATTAAATTTTCTAATCAATAATCCTTAATCATTAGTCAAGAATCAATAATCAATATTCAGAGATAATCCGAATTATTAATCTGAAATCAATAATCAATAATCGGCACTCAATAATCAATAATAACCAATTTACCATAATCATAAAAATTCAATAATAAAAATCAATATTCAGCAATAATTAATAAGTAACCCTTAATCAATAATCAATAATAATCACTCAAACAGGATCCACCTTAAATCTACAAAATGGTACATAATGACGGTGGCCACCGGAACACCTATAACAGACAACGTACAAAGCACAAAATATTACAATATACAAATAAATCCGTAGGTCCTGGATGTCCCACGACGATATACTAGCCACTGTCCAAGTGTCCGTTGCACAGGAGATAAATAATCGTAAAGTCACTCACCAAATGTAGACTTCATACACAGTGTCCAAAAGACAAAAGATATCCGGCCGGACCGGGTGTCTGAGGCAACGTATTGTCCAACAGTTGAGCGAGTGGTAGGCCGTGAGCGGCAGGTCGGTACGTGAGCGGCAGGTCGGTACGTGAGCGGCTGACACCAAGGCGGCGTCCAGAGATGTCCCAACAGTAGCCTCTCGTAGTTAGTGACAAGTCCGGTAGCAGTGGGTCGGTATAAAAAACCCTGTGTGTACACAGTAAATTAATAGTACGTGCCTTAGTAACACTATTTTATCTGAGGAAAATTCCTAACACCCAAAATTTATGTACAGTGAGAACTTTAGTTAACTGTGACAAATAATCATCTTTCTAGCAAATGCTTAGAACAAATTGGCAAAATTATCTTTTAAAATCTCAAAGGTAAACACATTATTTAAACTGCAGATATTTACATTTTTAAACAGAATAGGCTACATAAACTCATGGACAGATTTTTAACTATACAAACATTTGACAATAAAATAATGGCTACTAAAATGCAAGTGTTTTTATGAACATTAAAATGGCAAAATAATTAGATACTAAATGAATGATTTTGTTTTCAAATACAGGTATGTTAAACGATTTTTCCTGAAAATAACAATTTACAAGCACACAAATACAGTACAACATTTAAACCTTTAAAACATATTTGAAACATTTTAAACTCAGAAATTACTAGTTTAAGATTACAAACATTTTATTTGGCAACGTCTAGTACTTCATGAATGTAACAAATTTTCCACAAAACCAGTCAAACGACTTTTCAATCTAACTAGGTCAAATCTAGGGCTCTGAACTTCAAGTTTAACCTCATAAAGCAAAGAATTATTTAATGGTTCTGGCCTTTAACTGAATATAACACACAATTGATTGGTAGTCAAAAACATTAGCCTAATTATATTTACCTAAACGTTTGGTGAATTTCCTTATAACTAATAAACAATTTTTAACTTTCACTTTAAGAACAAATACTCAACACAATATTCATGAAACCAGTTTGCATAGACATGAAATGAATATTTTGCACATTATATGAATATTTTACATTCGAAGATCCATGACATTAAACTCAAATTTAGGCTACACAGAACAATGAAATTTACAGTTAAACAATATTCTACAATAACATTTATAAATAAACTACGGAATTTATTACGTTTATCCTACAAAATTTGATCCCTAACATGTGAAAACGTACGGCCAATCGACATTGATTTATTAAAATCCTAACTAGTTAATTGGAAAGTTTGATTTAGTGAAAAGACTTTTGTCCAACAAAACAGCTAATCAATTTTTCTCCCTGCTTACCTCAGAATATTCCAAAATGGTAATACAAGAAAATCCACTGGCGTCGGTGCTCTGAGGGTCCTTGACGATGTTGGCTCTGCTTCTACTCAACTAACCTCTTCGTCGTTAACGAGCGTTCACATGTGCTCCTCTACTCCAGTACAGACATGATTTCAATCAGCTGTTTGGCAAATGACCGATCGATAGCGCTGTCCACGCTGAGTCCAATACGTTTGTGGACTTTATTTAGTGCCTTCAGGGCAGAGTTGGCAATTTTCTGCCAGTTCTGTTTTTATGATCATCCAAACATTGAAGGCGCGCGTCACTTCAATTATATGGTCATTAGTGAGGTGATCAGTCTCACTGGGATTTGGGTTCAAAACAAGAAACTAACGTTACAGTGTGGCAGTCAAAGTAGGTAAGGTTCTGTATGGGTCAAAAATTTAAACAAGTGGCTTATGATCTGTTACAAGGATAAACTTTCTGCCATAACAATAATTTGATGGTGAAATACTGATAGAACTTCTTCAATCCCCAGTAAATCGCCAGTGCCTCTTTGTCTATCTGACTGTACTTTTTCTCACTTGCAGTGAGAGATCGAGAAGCGAATGAAATTGGCCGTTCAGTACCATCTTTGTAGCGGTGAGAAAGAACAATTCCTAATCCGACTGGAGAAGCGTCCGTGGCTAGCACTAAGGTTTCATTTTGATCAAAATGAGCAAGTACCCGGTCTTGAGCTATCTCAGCCTTAACTTTTTCAACGCATTTATCACATTATCTGGTCTAAACGAACTTAGTGTGGGCCTTAAATAGGTTGTGTTCAATCAAGTTGGGGATAAATTTCTGGTAGCAATTAGTCAAGCCCAGGAATGTTCGTAGCTCTGACACATTTGACGGTTTTGGCAATTTTAGAATTGTTTCCACTTTGTCCTTGTTCTTGTGTAGACCATTTTGATCTATAGTTCTATAGTAGTATGTTCTATAGTTCTATGTTGATCTATAGTATGTATCTATAGTATGTCTATGGTAATCGATTTGTGTTTGAAAAAACTTACATTCATCTTTATTTAGTTTGAGGTTGTGTCTCCTGATTACTTTCAAAACACTTTCTAGCCTTGTTAGGGTCTCAGACTCAGTTGAACCTTGAATAATAATATAGTCAAAAAAACACTGAACGCCATCAATTCTAGAAAGTATTTTGTCCATAAACCCTTGCCATAGAGCCGGAGCAGTCTTAATTCCGAACATGAGTCGATTTACCTTATACTGTCCTTTATGTGTACTGATAATTTGAAGTAACGCACTTTCTTGGTCCATTGCCATATGTGTAAATAAGCGTTTCTGATGTCTAGTGTACAAAAGTACTTACCACCGCTCATTTTTGCAAAAATGTCCTAAATACGTGGAATAGGGTATTTGATGTCCTTAATTTGTTTATTTAAGTCACTTTGAAATCTGCACAGATTCTGACCTTGCCGCTGGGTTTCACGACTGGAAAGATTGGAGTTCCCCAATCACTTTGTTCGACCTTCGAGATGATTCCTATTTTTTCCAATCTGTCCAGTTCTTTTTCAACTTTA